AAATCTAGGTTACTGTCACGCAGATACTAGCCGACCTCTCCAGTCAGGTGGTTAGTGTAAGGCGATCGACCGGTGGAGTATAACTGCTATGTCACCGTTCGACCGGACCTAACGTGGCAGTGCACGATTTTACAGTTTTTTGAGATTTTTTCAAGAAAACGTGAAAAATAATTTTATGATAACCAAAATTTAATCGTTATGAAGAATTCAAGGACAACTGGGAAGATACAAGATGAATGATCGATATATGTTTCAATTATTCTTAGTAATCTTTATTTTTTTCTCTAGGATGGAACCATAATATTACGGTTATTATTATTATGCTTGTTGCTTAGCTTAGTTGCTTTGTATGATTGTATATAATATGATTTGCTATATATGTGATAGCATGTCGTGTAGAATAGGGAGTGCCGCTCATTAAAACTATTCATGCATATTTTTAACATAAAACCTTGTTTTCAAAAGATTGAGTGGGTGAGGGTTTTGAAGAAAAGACCCATGGCCTCCATCGTTGGTCTGTAGGTAACACATGGTGATACCAACCCCTAGGAAGGGATTCATTATGTACCGGTTCTCTGAGATGATAACTTATTTGAACATATTTTATGGTTGTACACCCCTAGGTGATAATTATAAAATATTGATCAAATAGTTGAAACGATGGTTATACACTCAAGATTAATTTAATTATTAATCTCCCCTAGGAGCTCTGTTAATTAAATTAATGGTCAAAGAAAAAGATTATCAATATATACCGGATAGAGATTGATCCAGATGGTATATATTGATCGGAGGAGATCCATGTTTCCAATTAAATTTTGCATGATCTCCCCTAGGAGACTTACAAAATTTTGAGTTGGGAATTATCGTTGTAAGGTTGTGACTTTTTCAAGATTTTGACATACAAACATATTAGTTGCATTATAATATGTATATATGTTTGATTACTAAATATTTATGCAAGTTTGCTTATACTAGATATATGAATGTTTATTGTAGATCAAAATGTCTGCTAGCGCATTATCATCGATACTTAATAAACATACCTTAACAGGCGAGAATTTTACCAATTGGAAAAGGAACCTAAAGATCGTCCTAACCTTTGAGAAACTCAATTTCATACTGAACACACCTTGTCCTCCGGAGCCACCTGTTGATGCTCCTGATGAGGTTTTCCTAGCGTATCAACATTGGAAGGACTTTGACGATATGACTCATTGTTATATGATGGCGAGCATGTCCACTATGCTACAAGCACAACATGAAGATTATATAACTGCTCGTCAGATTATGGATAATCTTGAGGACATGTTCGGCAGCCAAGCTGCTGAAAAACGTCAGGAAGCCCTAAGTAACCTCATTAATTATAGACAGAAGGCTGGGTTTTCCATAAAGGAACATATGCTAAAGGTGATAGGCTATTTGGCTGACACTCAGACCAATGGGGCTGACATCGATGCTGAGTCTCAATTGACAATGATCTTTGAGACTTTGTCGAAGGATATTCTGCTTAGGGCAATGTTCAATTTGAGTGCTAAATAGAATATAACCCTGACAGAGTTGATGCAAGAACTCCAAAAGTTCGAGTGGGTGATCAAGGGGTCAACTATTGTGGAGGCCAACTTGGCTGAGGCATCTTCCTCTAAACCCTCTCCAGGGAATGGAAAGAAGAAACAAGGGACCAAGAAGGAGAGTTCTTCAGTGCTGCCAAACAAGGGCAAGAACAAGAAGAAGAAGAAGAAGAATCCGAACAAGCTCAAATGCTTTCATTGCGGGAAGGTGGGGCACATGAAGATGAATTGCAAGGACTACCTAGCCTTTAAAGGCAAATGAGGTGAGTGAGATCTTTTGATTGTGGAAGCATGTCTAGTTGAGGAATCCAGTGACAACTGGGTCATAGATTCTGAAGCAATTAATCATGTGTGTATTTCTCTACAGGGGTTCAAGCAAACGAAAAGTCTTCTAAATGAGAGCTTCACGTTGAGGATGGGCGATGGAACTCTAGTATTTGTTGAAGCAGTGGGAGACATCCATATTTATTTTGATAGTTATATGAGTTTATTTTTGTAAGATTGTTTTTATGTTCCTTAATTTAATAGGAATCTTGTTTTTGTTGCTTGTTTATTTAAGGATTCTTATTCAGTTTCTTTTAATAATAAAGTTGTGATTTGTAAAAATAAGTCTTTTATCTGTGATGGATGGATGTGAAATAATCTATATTTTATCAAACCTAAGATGGACTCACTACTAAACACTGAAGTTATTAATAACTCTAAAAGGTGTAAAACTTCTCGTTCTAATGAGACATATCTTTGGCATTTACGACTTGGTCACATTAGGCTTAACAGGATACAGAGGTTGGTAAAGGATGGACCTTTAAGTTCTTTAAAGGTTGGGACGAAAATGAGCTAGGTCTACTAACTTTCCCTTAATTGCAAGTATGACAAAAGATGTTACCGAAATGCTACAGCATTTACTACTACTGTTAACAGAAACTCCTTTATTGTATAAAATTCTTCTGAATTAATTATTACTAAGGTTCCTTAAACCATTTCTAGCATATTTCTATGTGAATCCAGTTCTCAGAATGTAGATCTAAGCTCAGGTTTCTTTAAGTTATGCATGTTGAATAATATATTCCTATATCCTCCACTAATCAACAACTAAGCAAGGTTATTGAACAAGCATCATTCATGTTAGATCCGATTGAAACTAACCCTTCCAGTATTAATCTTAATCTTGTATTCTAAAATTGATGGCCAGTCAAGAATAGAAATAGGCATTAACACACATGAATGAATAGGAATAGTAATTTAATAGCATCTCAGAAACAAATTGTCATTCTTACAACTTTAGTTCCATTAGTAGGCATAGCTAAAACAAATTAGTTCATACTAAGATTTATGAGATCTGAAATTCTAGAATATTTCATGGCTAAATTAATATCCAAATAACAAAAGAGAATTAAGCTAACAGAAAGAAGAAAGAATTTCAGCTGGATCTTGGATTTCTCTTTTTCCAGCCTTGCCTCCTTCAACCTCCTGCCTTATTCTCTTCTCTCATGTCTCTGGTGTTGTATTTTTTGGAGGAGAGGTACTGTGTGTGTGTGTGTTTTTTTTTTCCTTCTATTTTCTCCTCTTCTTGTCCTTGGCGGCTACTACCTCCCAGAGAACACTTCCTTCTTAGGGCAGCAAAAAGGGCTGAGGTATCACTTGATGATGTATGCAGTGGACCACAATGACACCTGCTCAACCAACTCACACGGGTTTTTTGTCTGCTTTCTCCAAGTAGTGCGCTGATGTCATCCACATGCCAGCTGTTCCCAGAATGCTGCAGCAGAATACTATATCATTCTCTCTGCAATTTACAAAATCACAACTTAGGCATATTTCAACCTCTTTTTGACTCAAATCACTCCTTAACCCGAGAGCAGCACAAGTACATAATTTAGCAATATAAAATGCAAAACCAAAAAATCTAAGTTAAAACACAAAGAAAATAATGAAATACACTCTTGGCTAAGCAAACTTTAAGCTAAAAATGCATAAGATAACTCTAATTTCTTAGAGTTATCAAAGGGCCATTGTCCTTTATAAACGCTCTACGAGTGAGAAATGACCTTCATTTTCCTCAACAGATGCTCACGTTGATGTCACATGATCATAATCGTAAAAAAAAAATCATAATTTTTTATTAGACATTAATTGTAAAGATTTTTAGTTCAAGGTGTCAATTATCGAAAATAATAATAAGGACCGATTTACTAAATTCAAAAAGTGTAGAAGGTGTCTATAAAAAAAAAAAAAACCTTCTTAATTTATTTAGATTAGACCTTTTCAATTGAATTCAGATTTGATTTTGATATTTGCTTTGTCTAAGAGAGTTGGGTATCCCGTATTTTATAGATTTTGAAATTTGGTTGAATATTCTTTTCCTTCTTTTTTCAATTTGCAGTGTTTGAATAACGTCTATCAATGTAATTACGTGTATGAACACTAATATTGTTTTGAATTCGAATTGAAAATTGTGGCAGTTGAAATTGATTTGGATGTTAATCTCATAGAAGTTTCGACATTAAACTTAGAATGATGTACCTGGACGTGTCTCTATCGTTAGGCGTTGTTTATTTAATTGATCAAATATCATGATTTACATTTTAGGGCTTTTATTGTATGACAAAAATATGATTATGAGTGTTCTGGGCTTAATTTTCTGTTATATTTTGCACTTGCGGATTCTGGTCTAAAGGGACTGAAGGGAGATCGTTAGTGCTCGGAGTAAGTCATGGAAAAGGCAAAAAAAAAAAAACAAAAACTTCTCCCTTGCCCCGTTCGCCAACCTCCTGTGCCTGTTGTGTACAAGAAGCCTACCAATCAAGAGAAGAAGCTGCGAATCAGAATACTCCTCTCGATTGGTGGGTACTTACTGGTAAAGCGATTCTTAGACGACAAAGGTAAAATACTACCGGAGATTTTTGCTCTTCTCATTGCCATTGTGAAACTTAGACTGTCATGCCCTAACCTAGCCATCCTCCACCAATTCTCTATGGAAAGTCGCTTGGTCAGATTGCGTGGCGCAACAAAAGTGGGCTAGAAAGACGAAACGTAACTTATTTATTTATTTAAAAAAAAAAAAGCACATGTCATAACATGCGCCTTCTTATTTATAATAATTAAAAATTACAAGTAGAGTCGAACTCATAATACCCACACAAAGGTTTTCGAGTTCTCAACATCCATATTATATATTCCATCTAAGAGGCATTATAAAGAAAGATACATTACATTATCATAAACCCATTTATTTTTGTGACATTATACAACGCCTATGCTTTATTTTGACATCACAAACAAACATCTTCAAGGAAGGATAAAAAGAACTCTTAAAGGTACATCTCTCGTACCATTACCATATATTATAGACCAACTTATTAGGAAGATGTGCTTTCCAAACGAGCCCTGAAGTAAGCAATCAGTTTTTCCTTGGAAGGCAGAACTTCCTTAACAACACTGATTCACAAACGCATGGCTCCATCGACAAAGCTTAGGAAATTTCTCTTCTGTCAGAATCTCTACACCCACAACTTCTTGAAGTACTGGAAGCCAATGTGCTATTAAACTGCCCACAATGTCCACAAGCCCAACAGTTTCTCCTCCAAAGAAGTTGTCGTCGAGCTCGTTCTCCAGAAACTTGAGAAGCTCAATCAATTCTCCCACGGCCTTCGCTTGCTCATCTTTGCTCCAGTAAGCCTTCCATATCTCAGGAAAACCCTGAATTGTTCATAGCAACCAATTCAAAATTTTCATCAGTTCAAAATACACAACAAACTTAATCTTGGACAAAATTAAAGTTCTAGTTGATGAAAAAATGGAAGGAGGAAGATGTTAAGGGTAAAATACCTGAGTCGTATATTGTCTAAATATAAACATAACAACATGCACATAAAAATATTGAACCACCCCACTTAATAAGTTTACATTTTAAGATAGAAGTTCAATCCTTTATAAAGTCAAATTGTTCTCCCTCCTTAAACTCTAAAAGAAAATTCTTTTACCTTGTCGTCAATGAAGCGTGCCCAGAAACGCGCTTTGGCTCTTTCATAGGGGCCTTTTGGCAATATGGGATAGTTTTCCCAGGTCTCGTCTATGTATTCGAGAATAACTTGGGACTCTGCTAAGGGCTTGTCGTGGTGGACGAGCACCGGAACCTTCTTGTGAATTGGGTTGTATTTGATGAGCAACGAACTCTTGTTGGACAGGTCTTCTTCATGGTATTCGTAATCAATGCCTTTCAGTTTCAGAGCGATATCTACTCTGAGGCTAAAAGGGCTTCCCCAGGCACCAAAAAGCTTCACTTCTTCAGCCATATAAGCAAAGTTTATATTGTGGAAAAACAACTTATAAAAGTGTCTTTTAAGCTTTCTAGCAGGGATTTATGCCCTTTTATACACGTTTGTTGACACGGCTTTCTTAACCAGCAAGCCTCTATGTTTTATTGCTATTATAATGTATATAATATAGTTGAATAGTTGAAGTGGTCAGTAAATCGCCATATTGATTTTCTTTGCTGTTTGAAGTAGTCTGTACAATTTGTGTCTACCAGCCCCTATTAAAATTTCTTCCCTCATCTAATTGGGAGAGGTAACCACTACCAATTACATAAGTTTATGAGAGCTTGCCGATTCAACGTTTTACGTGTCTTTTTATTTGTTGGAACGTTCCAGAACCAAATAATGTGCGAATAAATAAATATATATCAATAAGATAGTTCGAGCATCTACATAAGCAAATACGATTTTTAGGAATACCAGTAAAAATTTTATTATGCAAAGCTTCAAAAACGTTAAATATGTTGGCTGAATAGCTGTATAATTATGGCCTCATTCAAGATTGTTTGGTTGGGGGATTCGTACCCCGATTCAAATCATGGTTCATGGTTCGTTACAGTGTTTTCTCTCACAAAAAAATACACGTAAATCGAAAATGGTTCTAATCTCACGATTCTAATCCATAAACCAAACGTTAGTCCTCGACCTCTTCCTAAACTCTTTAGGCCCATTTGGTAATATTTTTAAAATGGTTTTATTTTTGGTACAAAAATAAAAAAAAGAGATTGTTTTAAAAATCATTTTAGAACCGATTCTGAAATTACGTTTGTGGTCTTTTAAGAAATTGATTTGAGTATGATAAAAAACTAAAATCGTATTTGGTTACATTTATATTTGTTTTGAGTACATATAATTAATAATTTTAAATTAATATATTATTTAATTAATAATTAATAATTATTTACCAA